CTAGATTTCAGTAAGGCTTTTTTTTTTTCTTTATTTCTTTTCATTCCGGTGATCCAAACCCCCACAGGATTCGGTATACATTGCAGTCAAACAGCAAAACAGCAGTATGCATTGGTACAGTAGTTTCGTATATACAGTGCAGTGTCATTGCATTACCTTTTGGATATACAAATTTTATGTACATTTTCGGTACTTTCTGTGTATTGTGAACTAGCCCAACCTGTATGTGGTTAAGACACTACTTTGTTGGTGGTTAATTCCTCAGCCTACGTGCCGTTCTATGTAGGTATGTTCCCTGAAGACTACTATGGAGCTGCGTCTTGGGTGCTTTAACCCCTTGTGTAGTGCTGCCTGTGTGGACACTGTGTTTTCAGTGAAGTTCCAGCGCTGGGCTGGATGTAAGGACTCCTACAGAGAGGAGAAAGAGAGAGGAAGAGAGAGAAAGAGTATAGGGAGGAGGGTTTACTCAAGACAGGTGTAATGCCACTGTGGGTCTTGTTGGTTGGGGTGGGGGTAGGTGGCATTGGAGAGTGTCCCTGTGGGTTTTGCTCATTTCAGGCTGTGTAGGTGGGAGGTTTCCATTGTGACTACGGATCCCCTTTGTCATGAGGTTGATACGTCTAGGACTGCAGTATTTATATACGCATTCCCCTCCAGCCATTCATTCCATTTGCCCCAGGCAGCCAGTTTTTTGTTGTGTCTATCAGAACTCTCGTGAGCCATCTTTTCATATTAGCCGTTAAGTGATATCTGTTGCATCACCTCCCCTATGGGGGGGGTCAGGGGGGCTATAGTGGATTTCCACCTCCTAGCTAGTAGAATGCCAGAGTCCCTTGTTGTTTTGTGAGGTGTTCAGGAAACATGAACAGCAGGAAGAATTTCGCTGATTTCTGAATTGGTTTGTGTAATACTTCCCCAATTAGCTTGGCTATTCCCTCCCAGAAGGGTTTGATTATCGGGAGTTTGCCATCCCTCAGAATTACATCATAACATGTCACTAGTACCTTCTTTTTTGGTATAAATCCTGCGCACATTTTCTCCATAATGGTCATGGTTTGTACTGTTGGCGGGTTGAGAGACCCTGCCTGGTTAGTGGTTTTCAGTAGGGATTTCAGCTGTAAATATGGTAGGCAGCCTGTGTGGGGTAGGTCTGGTGACGGACTGATTTCGGGGAAGGGGGACAGGCCCTCCCCACTCTACATTTGGTGAACAAACTGTATTCCCCTGCTTTCCATCCCCTGCTGTCGAAGGTGGGAATGTAGTATTTGAAGCATTTAAGTGGTGTAGCTAACGAGATCAGACTCCAGGATGAGAACCTATCTTTTTTGCTATCCCATGTCCTGAGCATAAGGGCCGTGGTGGGCAATATGTTTAGCAATTGGGGTCGCAGGGGCTTTGGTGTCCAAAATAGGCAAGAGAACCCCTCTGCCAGGGACCAGTGAGACTCAATTTCTACCCACGGTGCTTGGTTCTGTGTGTCTTGAGCTGCAATGGCGTGACTGAGCAGTGTGGCTGTGTAGTATGCTAGGATGTCTGGTCTACCCATTCCCCCATCCCTTAGCTTCCTAGTGGCTGTGGCCTTTGGAATGCGGGATTTGCGGCGTTCAGTGATAAACCTGTCGATATGTCTTTGCAATTGTATAATGTAGGGCCTTGGGACCTCCACTGGTAGGGAGCGGAACAGAAATTGTAGCTTTGGCAGCAGCATCATTTTAAAGGCCGCTATTTGGCCCAGCCAGGAGAGGAATTTGTCTTTCCATTTATCCATGCTTGAGCAGATGTTGGAAGCCACCCTGAGGTAGTTGGCTTTGACTAGGTCGTGTGGGCTCTTTGTCAGTTTTATGCCCAGGTATGTTATATGGTCGCCTCTCCAGTCGAAGTCGTAGTGTGACTTGAGTCTATGTGTCGTCTTGTGGTTCAGGTTAATTTTCATGGCCTGTGTTTTGGTCGTATTTAATTTGTAGTATGAGAACTTGCTGTATTCTGCCAGAATGTCCATGAGTGTAGTGAGGGAGATGTTAGGTTGTGTGATGGTGAGGAGGACGTCGTCTGCAAATAGACTGAGTTTGTGTTCCGTTTGTCCTATGTGTATTTGTCACGGGTGGCGGTCCGGTTCCCGGGACCCAGACACTGTCCGGGCGGTGGTGCGTGGACCAGGACCCATGTGCCTGATGTTCAGAGTAGGGGTCACAGTGTGGAAATGGATTAGAGGGTCTGGTGCAGGGTAACCGCACACCCCCTGGTGTTGAGCACCAGCATTTGTGCAGCCACATACCAGAACCCTGATTCAGCTTATGCGGATCCCAAGAACTAGGAGCAGGTAATTAAGCAGACCTCCCAGGAGCTGAATAGGGAGGCTCTGCAGTAGGGATGTATCCAGTGCACCATGCATGAAAACAAGACAGAACTAGGAGAACAGGGCAAGACTATAGATGGGCACCATACATGAAAACAAGACAGAACTAGGAGAACAAGGCAAGACTAGATATAGGCACCATACATGAAAACAAGACAAAACTAGGAGAACCCAGAACCAGAGCAGGACAGAAAGCAACCTAGAACATATACACAAGACATGAGGAAAACAAGAACATGACATGGGCATGACTGGACAGGACTGTACATGGACTGGGATTACAAGACAAAGTAAAACAAGACAAGAGATACAAGGTAAAACAAGAGGAAACATAGCTAAGCACTAATTATAAAAGCATGGGGATTTAGTCACATTATATGATCATACATTGCACAAGCCTGCCAACAACGCCAATGTACCCCATATCTGGCAGGTCCTACACTGCCTAATGTATGCTAAAACAACCACACTATACCACAATAGCACTTACCTGCAAGAAAGGGCAGAGACATGAAACACTGCTGCAGGTCCAAGCTGAAAAAAAAGGAAAGTGGAAAACAAACAGGTGTGGCAACATAAAACAAACATTTAAGTGAATCCAAGAGACTGGGAAATCCAGGGACAGAATATAAGAATGAACTCAGAAATCCAGCAATAAAGAAAACCAGACATAGACCAGAAAAACAGAAAAACCAAGCAAGGACAGCAAAAAGAGTACTGGATACCAGAAGCCATTGCCAGAATGATCTGCAGCGAGGAACAGGATGTGACAGTATTCCCTGTATGCCAAGGTGGGCTTGAATTTGGGTCGCAAGTGGCTCGAGGGCCAAGACGTACAGGAGGGGGGACAGCGGGCAACCCTGCCTCGTCCCATTGGTGATGGTGAAGGATTCGGAGAGGAAGCCTCCATAGAGCACTCTCACTGTGGGTACGTTGTATAGCGCTCGCACCGCGGATAGGAATTCGTCCGGGAATCCGTATTTTTTTCAACACTTATTTCAGTAAGGCTTTTGACACTGTTGCACATAGAAGGCTTATCAATAAACTGCAATCTTTAAGTTTGGATTCCAATATTGTTGAATGGGTGGCTGAGTGACAGGCAACAGAGGGTTGTAGTTAATGGAATATATTCGAAGCTTGGACTTGTCACCAGTGGGGTAGCTCAGGGATCTGTACTTGGACCCATTCTCTTTAATATTTTTATTAGTGATATTGCAGAAGGTCTTGATGGTAAGGTATGTCTTTTTGCTGATGATATTAAGATATGTAACAGGGTTGATGTTCCAGGACGGATAAGCCAAATGGCAAATGATTTAGGTAAACTAGAAAAATGGTCAGAATTGTGGCAACTGACATTTAATGTGGATAAGTGCAAAATAATGCATCTTGGGCGTAAAAACCCAAGGGCAGAGTACAGAATATTTGATAGAGTCCTAACCTCAACATCTGAAGAAAGGGATTTAGGGGTGATTATTTCTGATGACTTAAAGGTAGGCAGACAATGTAATAGAGCAGCAGGAAATGCTAGCAGAATGCTTGGTTGTATAGGGAGAGGTATTAGCAGTAGAAAGGGAAGTGCTCATGCCATTGTACAGAACACTGGTGAGACCTCACTTGGAGTATTGTACACAGTACTGGAGACCGTATCTTCAGAAGGATAATGATACCTTAGAGAGGGTTCAGAGAAGGGCTACTAAACTGGTTCATGGATTGCGGGATAAAACTTACCAGGAAAGGTTAAAGGATCTTAACATGTATAGCTTGGAGGAAAGACGAGACAGGGGGGATATGATAGAAACATTTAAATATATAAAAGGGAATCAACACAGTAAAGGAGGAGACTATATTTAAAAGAAGAAAAAACTACCACAACAAGAGGACATAGTCTTAAATTAGAGGGACAAAGGTTTAAAAATAATATCAGGAAGTATTACTTTACTGAGAGGGTAGTGGATGCATGGAATAGCCTTCCAGCCGAAGTGGTAGAGGTTAACACAGTAAAGGAGTTTAAGCATGGGTGGGATAGGCATAAGGCTATCCTAACTATAAGATAAGGCCGAATGGTTCTTATCTGCCGTCACATTCTATGTTTCTATGTAGGATGATGAGGTCCTAGACCCCACATGGAAGGAAGGTGATGCGAGTGACATGTGCAGTTTGGAGGAAGAGGCAGTGGTCACACAGAGGCAGGGTGCAAAAGAGGGAGCAGGGTGCAAAAGCAGAGCGGCCGTCCCCTAGCGCTCATCAGCATGTATTAGCTCTAGAATTACCACAGTTATCCAAGTAACAGATGGAGCGATCAAAGGAACCCTAACTGATTTAATGAGCCATTCGCAGTTTCACTGTAGCGGCTGTGCGCGTGTTCTCACCCTGCTGCTGCTCACCTGTCTGCGCTGCAGCGTAACTTTGGCCTTCACGCTCACTGCTTCATATGCGACTTTCCCACAAGGTAGAACTACATCTTGCACATGCTGGAGAGACTGTGCGAGCAGCAGCAGGCTATAGTGGAGTTTCAGCTGCAGCACGCACAGGTCAGTCGCTCTGCACCAGACTTTCCCTCCAATAGATGCTCATTAAAGGATTTAAAGTGGACTCATTCCAATTACAGGGCCTTGAAAGAGTCCTGTATTGTTATTTATTGTCACTACCTCCCCGCGTCGGGAGTGGGTAATTTGCGCGCCTGCTGCCTTCCTTGGATGTGGTAGCCATTTCTCAGGCTCCCTCTCCAGAATTGAACCCTGATTCCCCGTTACCTGTGGTCACTGCCTCCTCAACCTCCTACTCCACATCCACCTCCTCCTCCTAGAGCAGGGTGAAAAAGTGGAGCAGCCATCTCCTAGACAGTACGCCTGCAACTGCCCACCGAACACAGGGACCAAGCACACCAAAGCCAGCTCCAATGAGTTCCCTGGCGTGGCAGTTCGAACGAAGAGAACCCAGTCGATTTCCTGTGGCACCTCCCGATAGGCAAATAGGAGATGGGGCAGGAATCTCTCTCAATCCTTGTGACTCGCGGCAAAGGTACGGAGCATTGAAGCGCTCACACAGGCCATTGGACTGGGTGTGGTAAGGGGAGCTCAGGATTGGTTTAATGTGCACAATCTCCACAGTTGGTGGGTCATTCCGGCAGTAAACTGGTTCCCCTTGTCTGAGAGAATCTCCCGGGGAAAACCCATCTGGGAGAACACTCGCATCAAGGCTTCAGCCACAGTCTCTGCCCAAATACTGCTCAGGGTACGGAGTCGACGAGTCCACGATGGTCAGAATGTACTTCTTCCCAGAGGTACTAGGCTTGGCTAGGAGACCTATAATGTCGACAGCTACTCTGCCGAACGGATCTTCACTAATAGGTAGGGGATGGAGCCAAAGCTTCCCCACTCTCTGGCAGACATCTGGCAGTACTGCCTCAGAGCCTGAGAGATGCCTGGCCAGAAGAATCTTTGGGTGAGCCAAGACACTGTCCGGCTCCTGCCCAAATGCCCTGCCAAGGGGATATCATGAGCTAGCTTCAACAACTCATACCAATACTTCTTGGGTCTGGGGCTGGCAGTCTCTCACCAGCCGTGTCGTTGGAGAGCCCATTGAAAAAGTGCTCTAGCATGACGAGCTGGGTGATCTCCTCCAGGAACTTGGCTTGATGGGAGTTTAGCCAGTTCAGGGTGGCCCTTGTGATGCGGCATGCCCACTCCGCATGGGAGTCCTTCTCCCCTTTCCGGGTGTCCCTAAACTTTTGGCGGTATTGCTTGAGGGTGACCGCCTACCGGGCCAGGAGGATTTGGGTAATAAAGGGATAGTCTCTGATCTGCTCTTCTGGTACAGCCTGGTAAATATCCACTGCCTTCCCCACTAGTTTGCTGGTGAGGATGGTGACCCAGTCGCTGGGGTCCACGTCTTGGAGTAGGCACTGGCGCTCAAAAAAGTAATTGATGCCTTCTTCTGCTTCCTTGAACTCTTTGAAGGCATTGTATGGTAGCTTGTGGGCCAGGGTGGTTGTGCTTCCTGGCGCCATCTGCTCCTTTCTTCCTTCATCTGGGTTTATGGAGGTCGCCCTCTGTCTATTGACAAGGACATAGGCTTGCACCTCCAAAAAGGTCCTGCTGATGATTTCCTCTGAGGGTGGCTCTCGGTAATATGCCAGGCACTGGTCCACCTCCTTGCGCACTTCCTCCTCATCTCCTGCCCCTGGATGGGGTTCGTTGCCTCACTGCGTGCCTGGTCGTCCTTCATAAGCCCAGCAGTCAATTTGGCCTCGTTACGCCCACCAGGCGTTATTCCTCTGGCTCCACACAAGTCCTGCAGTGTAGGTCGCTTTAGAGCACTGTAGTTCATAGGTCTGTTGGCAGGGACATTGGATCCCCCTGCTTGCCACCAATTGAAGCGGGACCTGAATAACCGATGGTTATCCCCTTTGATTAGAATAGGTCAGACCCATTTCCCCAGTAACCGGATGGGACACAGTTCCAGGATACAACGTTTGACCATCTTTATTTGGGTACACAGCTTTGCCTCCTGTTGCCTCCTCCTCCTACTCTGCTTCCTCCTCCTCTAACACCTCCTCATCCGGTCAGCGTAACACCTTCACCACCAACTTCAGCACAGCCAGGGGGAAACGAAAGCAGGCACACCGCGCAGTAGCTGTGGACAGGCATGGAACAACAGACCGATGAGTGGTTGTTGCCCCTGAGCCTCAAGCGCGTCCTCGTGGTGTGTGATAATGGGCGAAATCTCGTAGCTGCTCTGGGCCTACCCGGTTTTACACACTTTCCTTGCCTGGTGCATGTGCTGAATTTCCTGAAAAACTACCCAGATATATCAGAGCTGCTGCAGAAAGTGCGCGGCCATCTGTGTGCGCTTTCGGCGTTCTCCCCCTACTGCTGCTCGCCTGTCTGCGCTGCAGCATGACTTCAGCCTTCCCCGCTCACCGCCTCATATGCGATGTGCCCACAAGGTGGAACTCCACCTTACAGATGCTGGAGAGACTGTGCAAGCAGCACCAGGCGATAGTGAAGTTTCAGGGTGGGTTCCTGCACCAGCATAGGCCAGGTACGCAATTGTCCAGCATCTCCACACTGTCCCATGGAAGTGTTCAGCTGTCCATCTCCCAAACACTGGAGAGAAAGAGGAAGTACCCCCCTACCCACCCACGATCCCTGGCACTGAATGCCAGCATTTCAAAATTCCTGGTCTTTGAAATGCTGTCATTCCGTCTGGCGGAGAAGGACAGTTTTAAAAACCTGATGGCATTATTGGACTGCTAGGAATGCACCGCAGGCCACAAATGTTTCTTTTTTTATATGTTTCAATATTTTGGGGGCTTCCCCAATTAAAAAAACAAAAACAAACAAAAAAACAAATAAATAAAAAAACAGTGTTGGCTACCTCCTCCTCGTTCTCTGCCGCTTCCACCTACACCGCCATGGTCACCGCCTCCTCAACCTATGGGTCACTTAGTGTAAACTATGTACACAATAGCAGAGGCTTGTGAAGGCCTTTTCTCTATGCATCAGGAGTTGAGCTCAGTTTGAACAATGAAAGAGAATACCCTGCACTCCAACCCTCTCTCAAATGGATAATTCTGGTGATCCTCCTGACAGCCATGCTTTAGATTTTGATTTATGTTCTTCCAAAGCTAAAATCAAAGATTCCATCTAGTGCTATTTTATGGCTCTGCTTTATTTTTCATTTTTATGTATTTTATGTTATTTTAAGTGATTTCCCTATCCACATTTGTTTGCAGGACACTTACCCCCATTTTACTTCATTTTGCAGCCCTCCAGCCCTTTCCAGGACTTTTTAGAGGCATTTTAGTGCCCAAAAGTTCAGGTCCCCATTGACTTTAATGGGGTTCGAGTTCGGGGTCAAGTTCGAGCCCGAATTCAAACTTTTTCACGTAGTTCAGCCAAACTCGGCGAACCCGAACATCCAGGTGTCCGCTCAACTCTACTAATTACATTTTCTGTTATAATATTGTCTCAATGGGCATATCATCAAGAATAATCTGTAAACTCAATTCCCTGACATACGACACACGACTACATCTCTTCAGTCCTTAGTTAATATTATTTAATGTGACTAACCTGCTCTTCTCATTCTTTTTCTTAGATGATTCATGAGCTACATCTTCTTTTTTTTTTTCTTGCTTGAAGCTTCATGGACAGAGCCCTCAAAATCTACTTATGTATTTCCTCATCAAACTTGGACACGTAACTTTGACAATCCAGAACACTAATGTTACTTCTGTGTATAAAATATGTCCGTCGTCAGCACATACTGCACACTTGCAACAAACGTATTGAGCTTCTCCCGTGCAGGCAGAGCTCGCAAGGGGAAGCATGGATGTCCCTCCCTCACAAAATTCTTCTTGTAATATATTTATTCTGCATTTTTCAAGGCAATGAGAACAGCAGGTGTATTGTTGATCGAGGCAGATATGCATTTGTTCAGTTGTATGTAGAAAGCTGGCTTTTGTTCAATAAAAAATGCCTGCTCAAAGCAAATCATTCTTCATCTGATCTAAAATTTACATTTTCTATGTGATATCACTGACTCATCACTGTACTTTTTAATTCAGCAACAAATGGGGATATTTATCTCTATAGCTGAAATTTTCATATGAAAAATGTTGTCTAGTAAAGTCCTAAAGAGTTCTAGCACTATATAAGCCACAAGTATAGCTATGACTGCATAGTCAAGGCATTTTTCTAATTGCCTAATTAAATTATCACAGTCACTTAAAAGAATGAGAATTGATTAAGATTCAGTAATTACTTCCTGCCATGCTTCATTTGTATAAAACAGAGGAGGTAGAATGTTTTTCAAATGATTAAGCTGGAAACAGATATTTTCAATAATCAGAATCAGGAATTTTAATTTAATTACTGTTAAGAGATTCTGACGTGGCACTGAAGGACACTTAATAAGACCAAACCCCCCCCCCAAAAAAATAATAATTTTACGAGCTAAACTTACATAGTAAGTGATTTAATATTGTTTATCTAAAAATTTTATTTAACATTGGCATAGAATTAACAATGCAAATATACATTTTGGCAAAAAGTGCAGATGGTCTCAAAAGCAATTGTTTCTTAGAGAACAATAACACTCCAACCATGTCCTCAATGTGTTAAGCTTTCCAAATAATTCAGTATTGTTAGAAAACATTTAAAAAAAAAAAAAGGTATCTACAGAACCATTAACGTCTATGGGAATTTGTGTAATTAAATAATTTTTAAAGTTTTTCTAACAGTATTGAATAAATTGGGAAGCTTATTAAATCAAATGATTATTAAAAACAAACACATTATGTCAATTTAATGCAATGAGACCATATGCATTATGCATCTATAGACCAGATGTTTATGATTACATAGATCACCAATGGTTCTTAATAAACTAAAATATATATTGTTAGTTAATAGTAATTATTAATAAGTGTAATAATAGATTTGCAATAAACTCCCATTATGACTTGTTGTACTCCTAGACACCATTTATACTCTCACACAACATTGATGATGGCCAGGAATAGTACTCCAGATAAAATCGATCCTTTTCCCAAATAGTTGGGCAGATTTGTGTATTTGGAGGATTCTTAGCTATACTATGTGTGTGTGTGTGTGTGTGTGTATGTATGTGTATATGTGTATATATTGCAACAAACCACCTCTTTTACAGGTTGGATTGTCACAGATTTTGCAGTAACCACAGCCTTCTAGGGTATACAAAGTCCAGGACACATTCAGCTCGATTTTCCTTTTTATTTGATAAGAAAAACAGGTGCTTTAAATAATAATAAACAAACAAAATTCCTTGCTCTTACTTGAGCTCTTACTAGACAGAAATCGCTATCTGTAATTGGGTGGCTTTCCCACTTACCAATTT